CCTGGAAGCTGTACAACGGCTCCCTCGGCCAATAAAGCGAGATGAGCGCCACATCTGGACCTAATGGTCAGGGGTCTCTTTACCTTTACACTTATTAGGTTTTCAACATTTCAGTGGATCGCCAGCCAAACATCGCAGTTTGGCGATATGCCACAATGTTGAAAAAAGCTGCTCTGGTTTCGCCAGAAGCGGCTCAGTCATGCTGGCCACATGACCTGGAAAAACAGTCTGCGGACAAACGTTGGCTCCCTCAGTCAGTAAAGCGAGATGAACGCCGCAAACCCAGAGTCGTGAGGAATTTTTTATTTAAAAATAATAATATATTGCAAACTGATGAGGAAATGTGGAGAACTTGGGAAACTGAGAAATAGAAATGGGAAGCTTGGTCCATCCGTCTAACTACAGCAGATCCCAGAGAGGGACATGGAGGGATCCTGACCTGAAGAGCCTGTTGGTTCATCTGATTCACCTACTGTGGGAAGAGTAGGAGGGGATGCTGACCCAGATGATGCAGACAGAGTGCATGACTCATTCCCACTGCCACCTCATTCCATTAATTGTGGTTGTTAGGCTGTACCTGGCAACTACTCGCCTTTGTCTGATGAAACTATTTGCAAAAGAAGGAAATACCGGTAGATTCGGATAGGAGCATAGCCATGAAACGGCACGTCTTATGTCCTCAGCACAATCTCTCAAGGCACATCCTTCAGGACTGAGTGGGCAAAAATGGCCATCCAGTTGATGTTGGACTCCAGTTCCCATCAGCCCCAGCAAGCATGGCCAGGGGTCATGGATAATGGGAGTTGTAGTCCATCAACATCTGGAGGGCTAGAGATTCCCCACACCTGATCTAGCCAGTTAACAGTCAATTTTGGCATCTAAAGTATTTGTGAAGGGGCAAAAGAAGAGATGCACACAATTTTGCCTAGTCTGTGCATTTTCGCAAGTAATTTTCTTTAAATTTCCTCTATTTTTGCATGTTGTTTTCATTACTGCACTCTTTAGTCTTCTTTTGTGCTAATATGCACATCTTTAATGCATTGTTTGTTTGGAGTTCTGAATCAAAATATGGAGAAGTGCAAATTTTGAAGAGGAGAACTGTATTCCAGTTTGCATATTATTTCAGATGTGCATTAACATGTGACAGTTTTTTCTACCATCCCTTCATGCAAGCAATCTTGTGTTCTTGGATAAGAGATGCATAGCGTCATGTAATAGCACAAAGAAGTTGTAGAGTTGGATTGGGATGCAAACACACAAAGAAAAGCTTGTTAGGACTGGAGAGCAATGAAGATGGCAGTCAAGTCTTAAGCTTTAAAAAAGTGTGTAAAGCAAATAGGGAGACAAGAGAGGGCGGGATCTTCAATAAAACGGCTTTCACAAAGTAAAGCAGAATGGACAACTTAGGTGTTTCATAAATAAATTGGCCATTTGGCCATTTGGGTGTGATCCAGCAGGATTCTTCTTATGTTATTTAACAAGATTTATCAACTAATTAATCAACAGAAACCTCAGAATGGTTTACATAAAACAAAATAAAAAATTAATGGGAAAATACTGATAAAAGCAAACTTTACAAAGCAAGTAAAATAAGATTTTATTAAAATATAGATAAAATCGGTTTTTTTTAAAAAAGAAATGTACCTAATAAAATTACGTGTCAGGGTAAGCCTGCCCAAACAAGAAAAGTGTTTATCATGCATTGAAACCACTACAGCTGAAGATGCCTGCCTAATATTAAGAGGCAGGGAGTTGCAGGGAGTAGGTTCTACCGCACTGGAATATTCATTATGTTCTTAGTGATTACATTTAAATTCATCACCAAACGTAGGTGCCTTATAAATGTTGTATAATTATTATGATTATGATTATTTTATTAAATTTCTATGCCACCCTTTATCCAAAGATCACAGGGTGGTTTACAATACAAAAACACAAAAATGCATACTGCAATAACAAACAAAAACAATAACACACACACACCACACACACGCAGTTTAAAAGGCCATGTTTAATTAGCCAAAGGCCTGGGAATGGAGGAATGGTTTTTTTGCCTAGTGCCCAAAGATGAGAATGAACAAAGTGATCACACACAGATCACACAACAGCAATTCCAAGCAATGACCACACACACCCTTCCCTCTCCGCCAAAGTCCTCCCAGGTCTTCCACTGATTCTTCCATGTCCATTATTTCTTTCCTTAATCATCTAACACAGGAGTGGGAAAAGTAGTATCCTCTGGGTGTTGCTAGACTGACCATTCTTGACCATTGGCCATGCTGGGGCTGATGGAAGTTGTGGTCCAGCAATATCTGAAAGGCCACACACTCCCTAGCCTTGCCCTGTATTGTATCATTCATTCATTCATTCATTCGTTGTTCATTTGCAAAGCAAGAGAGTCTGAAGCTGGTTACGAACTTTGCCCCAGGATGCGAACAGAAATCGCACGCCAGAGGCGCGTGCACAACGGGAGGCCCCATCAGAGAAAGCACGCCTCAGGATAAGAATGGTTTCAGCTTAAGAACAGACCTCCAGAACAAATTAAGTTCGTAACCAGCATTGTCTACCAATGTATTGTCCAATGTATTGTCTACCAATGTATTGTCTACCAATGTATTGTCTACCCTGAGTAGCAGCAGTTATCTTAAGGTTTAAGACACGAATCTGCCCAGCTCTGTTTTGGGACACCAGAGATGTCTGACATCAAAGTATGTGCTTTTCCACTGAGTTTTACAATATAACATATTTGATAAAAAGCAGATTAGACAGAATCACAGAAGAGAGGTCTATTGATGCGTAACACGCATGGTAGTTCCAGGGAAACGCTATCTGGAGCAATAATCATATAACTCTGAATAGTGAAGCACATCAGATAGAGATTAGGGCTGGGCAATATTAGGTTTTCAGCATTGCAGTGGATCACCAGCCAAACATCGCAGTTTGGCGATATGCCACAATGTTGAAAAAAGCTGCATTGGCCCCAGCCCTTGTGGCGCTGGGCGAAACTGCTGCAGCTCTCACCATGGGACCTGAGGCTCTTTCACCCCAGTGCCTTTTTAAGTTGGGGCCAATGAAGCTGGACCAAGATGGAGGGAGTCCTGCAATGGAGCCTGGTAGGCTCTGTCAGCAGGACTCCCTTCCCCTTCACTGGCCAAGGGGAAGGGGGGGCAAGCAACCTCCTCCTTGGAGAAAGAGGCCTCTTGCTCACCGCCACCCCCCCTCCCCACTGTGGGAGCCCAAACCTTTTTCCCGCTTGTATGCTAGCAGGAGAAGGATTGGGGCTGCTCAGCTGGGGAGGGAAAGCGCCCTGCCCCCAACTGAGTGAGCCCAGATCCTCTTCCTGCTCTCATGCAAGCAGGAGAAGGATTGGGGCTTCCTCAGCTGGGGAGTGGGAGCAGTTTAACAGCGTTCCCAGCATGCTGAGTACTGGGGGTCCTAGGCGATATATCGATAACTCGCCCAGCCCTAGTAGAGATGCAGGAGAAGGTCATTCAGAACCTTCCCAATTTGCACTTCCTGAACCAATATGTGAAGGAAAACGTAGATATTCTTTCTGAATTTTGTGATGTAGCTCTTGCACCCACCCACGCAAAAAATGTACAAAAAATGCATTATATTAGAGAAACTTGTTTGTAATAAGGTGTGCAGTGGGAAAATCACATTTAAAAATCAGTATATTAAGAGAAGTGAACCTAAAACTACAAATGTTTATGTGGGTATATAGATTGTTACACACCACCCCAATCTCCAAGCGGCACGAGATTCCAGGGGTTCCAGGCACTTACCCAGAGACTGTGTTTCCTTTTGGGAGTGAGGCATAGCAGAGAGTCTGGTGCCTTTATGATATATGGCTTATTTAAACATATACTGTATGCAACCTGAACCTACACTGCAGAGGCTCACAGCATCAACCCAAAAGGTTTTGTTTCTCTCATAGCTGCGGCCTTGGATTCAAACAGAAATCAAGCATAGATCTGCCTCTCTGGCTTTCCAGCTTGCTGATTAAGTTCAAATCCCTGCACACATGAAGCCTCATCCCTGGCTTTTGTCCTTCTCACTCTCTGTAAATTGAGCGAGGGGCCCACCCATTTGCCATCTCCCACAGAGCCTCTTAATCCCCCTTAATGGCTCATCACCCACACTATCACCTCATGAGGAAGCTAGCCCAGCTTAATTAGATTTTAACACTTGCTGGATCTGGGGATTAGAGGAGTCTGGCACTCCAAACTCATAACAATATTATCAACTGATGCAGAAATGGGGCGATCCAAGAGAAGCCAAAATGAACAGATTTGTCCCTCCTAACATGCGGGCAGAAAACCACCATCACACCCTGCTTTTGAGCATCCGGAGGCCTAAGCTTGGCTGTGGTTGGAAACAAGTTCTGGAAATGGAAATTCTGTTTGCTCTAGCATGGAAATTCTTATGCTGTGGTCTTTGTGATAGGTCTGTGATGAATTAGTAAACCTTGACTGATTTTATGGATTAAAGATGAATCATTTTGTAAAGACATATTTTGTTTCCACTTCCCGGTCTCTCACCCTGTGATTTTCTATAAGGGATTCTTAAAGGAGAGGGAAACATCAGTTTTAATTTTATCTTCTCATTTACTGAGGTGGTAAGTAGAGTTGTGTAGTGACCACAGCATTCACCTTGTATCTAAATCTGTAGCATTCGTAAGCAGCCCAATCTTTTTCAGATCTATTCTGTGCTCTTCCAATACGATTTGTTATTTGGCTCCAAATCCTATATGTTAAATCTGAAACTTTGTTTTGCCTCCATTGACTTTTACAGAGAATCTGGAAACAAAAAATGGGGAAACTAAAAACAAACAAGCAAGCGAATCTTTTAACATACGTGGGTGAAATTTACAAGCAAAGGAGCCCCTCCAGAGTGGATTAAGCCTGCCAATTGTCATGCAGATCCAGAGAGGAGTTTTTGTGCAGGGAACCTTTATTTTTTATTTTAAAAAAGTCTCTAAATTGTTTATTTTCTGCCAGAATTGGATGCAGATTGCGGACATGGTCTCCCCTTCTGAAGGGATGAAGCTTGCCAAATTTCAGAAAGATAGGTGAGTTATTCTCCTGCAAGGACAGGCATTGGAGGAAGGAACAGAAATCACACACAGCCCTAGTTTTGGAGGGAGGGGCACTCAGTTTGAGGGACATGTGGGAGGTGCCCCTGCCTTAGATACCCACCAAAACTCTGGGCAATCTGACCCTGGGTTCCAGGGGCAATCACAGAACTGTAGAGTTGGAAGGGACCACGAGGGTCACCTAGTCCAATACAGGAATCCTTCACCCACCATGGGGTTCAAACCCATGACTCTGAGATTAAGAGTCTCATTCTGTAACAACTAAGCTATCCTAGCTCAGAGTTATTGCACTGGGTGATTTTACCTTCATTATTTTTAAAAAAATGGAAAAGTCAACATTTTCTCACTGTGAATAAAATAGAGTTCTGTTATTTTAATTGTTAGAGAGAGAGAGAAATGACTCAGTAACTTACCAGGCCACCCGAGTAGTTTACCTGCACAGCATCTTCCCTACTTTAACAGCTAAAATTCATGTTCACTTAACACACATCCAATTATTGTGATTGGAGTTTACCAGGAAAATAATTCACTGTGACTAAAAGCTAGAGCTTTCTGTCAAAGTGAAAGATTCCCCACACCTCTCCAGTCCTGCCCTCTCAAGCTGTCATTGTTCAGCTTGGCTTTGTTTCTCAGAAAATACAGGGGAAACCTGAAGCAAGAGAGATACTCCAGAGAGTGGGAGTCCCTAATTTTGTCCAACATTGAAATATGAAATAATTCCCCAAATCCCCCAACTGTGCCTTATTAACTGAGATATACACAGCTGAAACACACCCCTGGTGGCAAACTTATTTTTTGTTTGTATCAGTTGATGTGAGACCTCATATGGTGGTACTCCTCCACTACATATAGGCACATACATTCATGTTGACTTAGCATTTCAGAGAGAAGACTCAGATACAACTCTTCCCTGGGCATTCTGCCAAAATCTGTTGGGTTCCACCTCAGATTCACCAAAAATCAATGGACTCTGCCCCCGGCTTCTCTTCCAGATAACTACCCTGTACCAGAACACTTCTGTTAAGAGGACATCTCCAGTTTGAAGGGCTAGCTAGTCCAAGTCCAAGTAACGAAACCCTAAGAAGGGAAAACAAAGGTCTTCAAGATGCCCATCAATAGTGAGGAGGCAGACAGTCAACTGAGCAGACATATTAGTCACAGCCTTCCTTTGTTGTTGTTTTGTTGTTGTTGTTGTTGTTGTTGTTGTTGTTTAGTCGTGTCCGACTCTTCGTGACCCCATGGACCCAAGCACGCCAGGCACTCCTGTCTTCCACTGCCTCCCGCAGTTTGGTCAAACTCATGTTCGTAGCTTCGAGAACAGTGTCCAACCATCTCGTCCTCTGTCATCCCCTTCTCCTTGTGCCCTCCATCTTTCCCAACATCAGGGTCTTTTCCAGGGAGTCTTCTCTTCTCATGAGGTGGCCAAAGTATTGGAGCCTCTGGTTCAGGATCTGTCCTTCCAGTGAGCACTCAGGGCTGATTTCCATCACAATGGATAGGTTTGATCTTCTTGCAGTCCGTGGGACTCTCAAGAGTATCCTCCAGCACCATAATATGTGGCAAAATATATTGTACTTCTGCTTAATTGTACTTCTTCCTATATTTGCATCAAACTATGTAAATCACCATATACTGCAAACCATCTATGTAAATCGGTGCCCTGTGAGATGCCAAGTACCCAATGTTTCACAGCAGAATGAAATGGAGACACTCTTAAGAACTTGCAACACCATTATTCTCATCAATGATCAATGTTAGGCACCTTCATCACACACATACACCTGTTACACATTGCAGAAAACCTGGAGACTCTTTCCTTCCAGTAGCACTTCTTCCTTCTTAGGGAGATGAGGGCAAGGTGGGTTGTATATGGGTTATTTCCTGACCTGTAAGAACATGTAGCAAGATTGGTTGAAACATGCAATCCTCTGGGTGAGAGGCACATGGTGTGGGAGTAGTAGAATGAATGGATTTTGAAAACTATTGTTGTTGTTTAGTCATTTAGTTGTGTCCGACTCTTCGTGACCCCATGGACCAAAGAAAACTATTAGGTCCATAAACTGCTATAGGTGTTTTCTAGCCCTGGATCTTAAATCAATTGTGCTTTGTGGTGAGGAGAGGGGCACAGCTGAACCCAGAAAGTTCTACATGCTGTGATTAGTGGTGGGCCAAGTTCCCTCGGCTTGCCTTACAAGCCATTCATTTCTTCTGAACTTTTCTGGAAAATATTCACAATGCAGTCTTATTTGTTTGTTTGTTTTGAGAAACTTGGGGGGGAAACAACTAGGTGAAGCTCATGGACACACACTTTTCAAGCAAGGGTAACTGGTGGCAGATACAAGAGATACAATAATCCTGCTTTTTATCATAGCAGGCATTTAACTGAAGTCTGATTTTATAATTTAAACTGATGTTCCTCTTCATTCTGTTGCTGTAAGGTCTGTACGCCACTTAAGAGATGATCATAATTCAGCACGTCCAAAGTCCCTGATTGCAAATTCACACCATTATAGTTGAGATATAGATATAGATGATATAGATATAGATATATATGGAATTATGACTTTTACTGTGACCTGATATGAACCTTCAGGAGGGGAGATCAAATCGGGTAAGCGTGGCAGAATGGATACGGAAAGACAATGGAGCTTGTAGATGAAATGGCAAGACTGAAAGTTAAGGGAAGCTTCAGTTCCTTTTGGTTCTTTCCATCTCTTTGATGTGATTCAGGACTAGCAGCAAGGTGTTGTTGACAACTTCAAAAAGGTTTGGGGTACCTTTGACCCTTCAGCTGTTGCTACAACTCCCATCAGCCCCAGCAACCATGGCCAATGGCCAGGAATTGTGGGAGTTGTAGTTCAGCAACACAGGTTCCACACACCTGAATTAGAGGTTGCTTTGCTAGGCATACATAGACATATATAGCATTTCTAACTCCATCATCTTATTTCTTTTCAGGTATTTTAAGTAGAAACCAGAGGCCATGAACTGGGGAGTCTTTCAAGGGCTCCTGAGCGGGGCAAACAAATATTCCACAGCCTTTGGACGTATTTGGCTCTCAGTGGTCTTCATCTTCCGGCTTCTAGTCTACATAGTGGCAGCAGAGAAGGTTTGGGGAGATGACCAGAAGGACTTTGACTGCAATACTGAGCAACCAGGCTGCCCAAACGTCTGTTATGACCATTACTTCCCAATCTCCCACATCCGCCTCTGGGCCCTACAGCTTATTTTGGTTACCTGTCCTTCCCTGCTGGTAATCATGCATGTTGCCTACCGAGAAGCCAAACTGGAGAAATATAGGAAGAAGGTTGGAGCAGACTATGCACTGCGCTATCCTCCTGGCAAGAAGCGTGGAGGCTTGTGGTGGACCTATTTCTTCAGCCTCATCTTCAAGTCTGCTGTGGACATTATATTCCTCTTCATCTTCTACCACGTGTACCCAAACTACACACTCCCCAGTGTGGTGAAATGCTCCCTCGAACCTTGTCCCAATGTTGTAGACTGCTTCATAGCCAGGCCCACAGAGAAGAACATCTTCACCCTTTTCATGGTCATCACTACCTGTGTTTGCATCCTCCTCGGCCTTGTTGAAGCCTTCTACCTTGTTGGGAAACGATGTACAGAGTGTCTTGAGCCCAAAAATGAAAGCCACAGGAGGCAGGGCAGTGAATGGATGAGAAGAGAGGACGCTTGCTCTCTGCCCAACAGCAAACATGACCCAAATGAAGTGGGTGTGCAGGTGTTCCATGGTGCAGATTACAAACCATCTACCTCCATCATCAAGGCTGCTCCACCTTCCCAGAGAACTCTAAGCACATAAACTACCCGGTCAAAATTAAATCCTGGGAAATTTGGTAATGGAAACCTTATGAAAAAAACAATATGACTTCATTCTCAGAATGAACAGTGCCTGCTGCTAGGCAGGACATTTGCATGATGTGCCAGAAGGCATGTCAGAGTATTCCAATAAAAACAGTAGACATTGCTGGTGCACATTTATTCATCCCATGTCTGGAAAGGAAATCACTGCAGCAAATTTGTCATTGTCGTTTTCAGTCCACAAATGATATGCGATGATATGTAACTGATGGTGTTTTCTTCCCCCCACCCCCCAAAAAAGTATTATGTTTCCTTTTAATTGAAATGAATAGGGAAGAATGACACGATTAATTATATAAGATTGTGCCACAGTGAGATGACTAATGCCGTTTTCTGTCAGTAGCCAAAGTGCAGGAGGAGGGAAACAGAGCTGCATCTGGAAAATATGTGATGGAACAGAAAATAGTGCTTTCTTGCATCCCTTTGTGCAAGATGGAGATGGAGAAAGGAATGGCCTACAGTATTTCAGGCCCCAACCCAGCTCAGGCTGTTCAATTTTTTGATGTCCATATTTGATCCAAGAATATATTAAATAGCCATTTCAAAATTCACTAGTTCCCTCAGCTCATTCCATCTAAACCACTTACATTGTATACTGTCCCATAACTCATCCAGTCAAATTTTTAAAGACCTCCCCACCACCAGCGAAAGGTGGCTAGCATACTTGGTACTGAGATCTCAGGAGTGAAAAGCAATATTGAAATAAAGATCGCTAATGGAGAAGAAATGGTATTTGTCTAGTCCTGTTGCAGTATTGCAGTTCTTATTCTGAAAAATATACACATTTTCTATTTTGTTATTATTAATATTATTTATCGAGAGAGAGGGAGAGAGAGAGTCATATATTGTATAACATACACAATAAATGGGATGCGGGTGGCCTTGTGGTCTAAATCACTGAAGGTCGGCGGTTTGAATCCCCACGATGGGGTGAGCGCCCGTTGCTCTGTCCCAGCTCCTGCTGACCTAGTATTTCGAAAGCACACCAGTGCAAGTAGATAAATAGGTACTGCTATCGCAGGAAGGTAAACAGTGTTTCTGTGCACTCTGGTTTCCATCACGGTGTTCCATTGCGCCAGAAGCAGTTTAGTCATGCTGGCCACATGACCCAGAAAGCTGTCTGTGGACAAACACTGGCTGCCTCGGTCTGGAAGCGAGATGAGCGCCGCAACCCCATAGTTGCCTTTGACTGGACTTAACTGTCCAGGGGTCCTTTACCTTTACACAATAAATGTATACATACATATGAATGCATACAAAACTCTGGGTGAAAGCCAATGTAGCACAAGCAGACAGCTCTGTGCACAAAGCGGGGTTTCTCCTTCCTCTCCTCCCCACTATAGGTCACCGTGTGACCCCAATTCCAAATTGTTGGGCAGACTCTCCACAGCAGTCCCCTTGCACAAGGAGCTTTCCATTACACAAGCAGGCAGACATCACTGAATGTTGCCTACTAAATCTAACTGCTGAACATAAAATGTAGAATATGTTTTTTTAAAGATCATATATGTGGGTGGATATGGGTGTGTGTGAGAGAGAACTCGGTTTTCACATATTCCACAACAAGATTCCAACTATTTCATGTCATAAACTCATAGCTTTATTGTCAGTTTAATGGCCCCCAGGTGTACTCAAAATTCCCAACTAATGCTGCAACCCTAACCTCACTTACCTGGGAGTAACCCTCATTGAATCCAATACAGATTATTTCTGAGTAGACACAGACAACATTGCACTGTAGATCTTCCTTCCTGGGTTTGTGATTTACCTTCCCAGCTTTTTTTAAAAAATGGTTTTTATTAAAGTTTTTTTGTGTTACAAAACAAACAGATGAAGAGGGAAAGGTATGTCTGTTGTCTACACTTTCAATTGAATAAAAAATTATTGCTAAGTTGACATATAGAAAACCTCTGAATCTGTTGTGGTTGTTGGTATCCGTCTGTCACGAGAGACAATGGAGTGCACCTCTGGACGTGAAGTCAAACCACTGCGTTAGCAGCATCAAAGTGACCTCTCTGGGGTGCAAGCCTGGGCAGTGTGTATGAAGGTCCTGGGCTGCCCAGACAACAAGACCCACTCTCAGTCTCACTGATGTGGTCCAAAGGAAAGGAAAGCCATATTTTTGACACCAGCTTGGCTGCTGGAGTTGCCAGAAGGAAGTGTACAAGGCGCCATCCAACCATCTTAGGGACTCCACTCCGGATTTGTGTAGGGTTTACGCCTTAGTCTTTTCTTCTTCTGAAAATATCCTTGAAGGCAGTGGAGGTTTAGGATCAGTGTTTTCCTTTTCCAAGGTGGCTCCCTTCCCAGGTTGATGAGCCCCATCTGCTCCACACTTCCCCTCTGCAGCACATGCAGAAAATGCCTTCTTAACCGTTGGACCCACTATTGGTCTCATCACCTCAACCCTCCAGAGCCTGTCTTTGCATGCAGGAGAAGTCCCTAACTCACCGAGGGTTTGAGACCCACTGGCTACCCTCACCTGGTTTAGCTAGCCAATCAAAGTCATTTCCCAGGGTGTGGCCACTGTCACATGCTGGCAGCTACTGGGAGCCACAGGTGAGAGCTGAGTGCAGGGTGGGGGCAAATGGTGGATGAACTATCCCAGAAGGAGCACAAGTTGTCCCTCACCAGAGGTAGTACCCGCTCCTCTAACACCTCAATTTGTTGTGGTACTGTCTGGTTATCTACAATAAAATAATCAATGGCTGAAATCACTATAAACCAATATTTCCAGCAGTTCCAGAATAATATGCACATTTCAGTTGTGGGGGTAATGAGCAGAATGGCAACCCAAAACTTCAGAAGGGGTCATCCGACTTGTGGTGGTCAGTGATACACAACTGGCTGGATGTGTTCAGTTTGGTGGGGTGCACTTGCAAGCTGCCCAGGCCTCATTACACACAAGTGCAATGGATGGTTGGGTTCTGGAAAACCAAATGTAGGAACATAGAAAGCGGCCTCAGACTAAGTCAGATGTTTGGTCCATCTTATTCAGTTTTGTCCACAATGATAGGTGGCACTTCCCTGGGGTTGCAGGAAGGAATCTTTACCAGTCCTACCTGGAGATGCTAAATCTGGGACCTTCTGCACGTGAAGCATGCACTCTACCACTTGCCTTGCCTTCTTGGGGTTTCATCTGACTAAGTTTTACTCAAAGGAGAACCATAGAATTGTAGAGTTGGAAGGGACCATGAGGATCACCTAGTTCAACCCCCTGCAATGCAGGACTGTTTCACACAACGTGGGCTTCAAACCCAAAACCCTTAGATTCTCTACCAACTGAGCTATCAGTCTCATTGAAATGAATGGACCTAGCTTAATCATGTTCATTCATTTCAATTTCTCCTCTGAAGAGAACTAGCACTGGATACAGCCCTTGCTTCCCTCTTGGTTCAGGAGAAGAACCAAGTTTGCAACAGGGCAAGAGGCATCATAAGGCTCAGCCGAGTTCTTGCACAACATTTATGCTTAAGTTCCACCTGGCCATTTCTCATTTGAGTCTTGTTCTTCTTGTTGAGCCACAACTTAGTCCTTCTTCCAAATTTGATTGGAACTCTGCAAGCAGTGGCAAAACCCACCACTCCCCTTTGCAACCTTCTCCAGTGGCTAATTAACTGCTATTGATGGGGCAATTGCCATTAAGTAGGTGGCACAGATCCCCTGTCACATGCTTTTTGTGAGCCTGTGGCATATTTGGCATCTTGAGAAACTGACCTCAGTTCTCCCTTTCTCGGTTGCTACCTGTGAAAGAAGATTTCCCAAAGTGGAAATGGATGCCTATCTACTGTGCCAAGGCTGCCTTGTTTGTTTGTTTGTTTGTTTGTTTGTTTGTTTGTTTTCACATGCCATCCTGTATTTCTACTCAAAGTGCATAAGTCACTGCATCATAATAGGTTAATACAGAAGGGCCATGGATTATGTGAAGTATTGCAAAGAAGATTATGAAGGGAGTTATAAATTAAGGATAATTAAAAGCAATAGAGAAATTAAGAAATGTAGATTAAGTGATAAAGATTGAAAAATCTTCAGATGCGGTTGATGGAAGTCCAAAACACTGTATAAGATAAGAAAGTATGTTATACGATTTTTGGAAATTATTTGTAAAAATCAATTAAAAAATATTTTTTTAAAAATAGCAGAAGGGCCACAGCTCAGTGGCAGAGCATCTGCTTTGCATGCAGAAGGTCCCAAGTTCTATCCCTGGCAAGCTGCAAAGGATTCTGGGACTGAAACCCTGGAAAGCTGCTGCCAGTCAGCATAGACATTACTGAGCTAGATGGACCAGTGGGTTTGACTCAGTATAAGGCTATATTCCTATATTCCTATTAAAAGGCCATAGCTCATTGGTTCTGCACATGCATAGCATGAAATATATCCCAGTTCAAGCCTTGGTATCTCTAGAGTTGGGAATGTCCCCAAGTCTGAAACCCTGGAGAGCCTTCTGCTATGTGCAACCCTGTGCTAAATAGGCCAAGGGTCTGACTTGGTATAAGGCAGCTTCCTATGTTACAGGAAGTTGTCTGATTATGGTCTGCTGGGCCATGTAGCCCAGAACTGTCCAAAGTGAATGCCAGTGGTTCTCCATGCCCTCAGAAAGGAGTCATTCAATTCCAGCCGTGCAGGGAGATGCTGGGAACTGAACCTGTGGTCTTCTGTGTGCCAAAGTGCACTACACAGTGTTGTATCATAATCACGAGGATTACACTGTCAGCCTTAACCCACTTGCTAGGCAGGAAGTTTCCCTGTCTTTCTTCAAAGCATTTATGTACCACTTTCCATCATGAACAATCCCATAGGAAAACAAACAATACTAAATAATACATAAAGCAATTAAAAATGGTATATTTTGAAAATGGTGTATTATAGTGAGTTGGACAATTGGTCTATCTAGCTCAGAATTGTATACACTGACTGGCAGCAGCTCTCCATGGTTTTGGGCAGGGGGCACTTCCCCCCATACCTAGAGTTGCTGCAGATTGAACCTGAGGCCTTCTGCATGTAAAGCAGATGTTCTATCACTGAGCTACGACCCTTCCTCTAATTTGCTTAGTTATTTCATTTGTAGATTATTACCCATGAAACATCCTGAAGCGATTTGACAATAAAACAGATAAATCAAAACTCGTAAAATAGGATTTCCCTCACTTACTAGCCACATAAATACCAGACCCACTAAAGCACCCTTACCTCAATAATCTGTCATACTCTGATGAGACCTGTTAAAATCAATGGACTTAAGTCTATTGATTTTAATGGATTTAACACAGAGTATGATTTAGTTGGATATCGCCCAAAGTTTTGTAGTCCTGTGATTTCCCTGGAAAGGGAAATCTCAGCTGAGCCACGAAGTTCATTGTGTAACTTTAGGAACATAGGAAGAGCACTGCTGTATCAGGCCAAAGTCCCACCAAGTCCAACATCCTGCTCTCACAGTGCTCAACCTGATTCCTGTGGGGAGCCCACAAGCAGGAACTGTGTGCTGTGGTACTCTTCCCCACTTGTACATCCCAGCCAAGTAGTATTCAGAGGCATACTGCCTCCAATAGTGGCAGTAGAACTTAACCATCATGTCTAATAGACTTTGATAGCCCTTTCCTCCTCCATTGATTTGTCTAAGCTTTTAAAGTCAATACTATCCCTTGTGGGAGCAAATTCCATTGTTCAACTATGGACTATGTCCTTTTGTTCACGCCAGGAGCCAGTATTACGAGAGATGACTATCCACTTTCTCCACACTGCAGAATTTTATATGCCCCTATCATGTCCCCACTTACCTTCCTTTTCTAGAATAAGAAGTTGTAACCATTCCTCATGGGGGAGTTGCTCCAGCCTCTTGATCATTTTCTGAACCTTCTCCAGCTCTACAGTATC